CTTAATAATGGCAACAATTTTCCAGAAGCTCTAAAATATTATTAATTTAACAATTTTCTACAGTTACGACAACGACCACGCCATAATTCACCCGTTCGCTCACTCACTCAGTCGTCAGTCATCAAGTCAGTCATTTCATTCATTCATTTATTTCTTTACGCTCGTTCCGACATTCATTCAGCCATACTGCATGTTTGTTTGCCACTGGTAACTTGCTGCTTTTGCAATTTGTCGTTAGCATTCATTCGTCACCAACCAGCCTTCAGCAACAATAGAAGTTCTCCTTATTTTTGTTGTTTGACTGAAATTGACAACTTCTTGCAATGCCAAAGAATTTCCAGAAAACTTTACTTCTGCATGCATACCTACCTGCCGAGCTAACTTCTTATTTGAAAAACGAAGAACAAAAAAGAAAACAAAGCCAATGATTTACTCTTGAACGAGGGCGCTCCTATTTTACGTGCACCACTTCTTTCCTGGTTCTCTTGAACGTAATTTTTTCATCGTTTTGTTTTCATTAAGCCGTGCTTGTAATTTGCGTTTTAAGTTCTTCATTTTCTTGTTTTGTTTTCTTTGCATTGTTTTGCTGTTGCTCCCTTAAGATTACTTGTTATGAAAAACGAAGCAACAACAACACCGTTAAGAAAATGTTAAATTTCCAAACAAAAGAATGAACATTGAATTAAATGTTTTTTTTATACAGAGGAAGTACACTGAGAAAAAAATTTCAAGACACAGTCAGATATTCGTTTTTCTGTGAGAACTTATGAAGTCGTACAGACGGTCTCATTTACAATAAATTCTTTAAAATGAGTATATTCACAGCCCATAAAAAACACTTATCTATCCCCAGATTCATTATGAAGTCATCTATGGACCTCTATAGACCAACAGACTGCTTGATTAGTCATCTATATACCGATATACTTCTTGTTCTATAGACCGACAGACTCCTGGTCAAGTCGTCTATAGACCGACAGACTCCTTGTCAAGTCGTCTATAGACCGACAGACTCCTTGTCAAGTCGTCTATAGACCGACAGACTCCTTGTCAAGTCGTCTATAGACCGACAGACTCCTTGTCAAGTCGTCTATAGACCGACAGACTCCTTGTCAAGTCGTCTATAGGCCGACAGACTCCTTGTCAAGTCGTCTATAGAGCGACAGACTCCTTGTCAAGTCGTTTATAGACCGACAGACTCCTTGACAAGTCGTCTATAGACCGACAGACTCCTTGTCAAGTCGTCTATAGACCGACAGACTCCTTGTCAAGTCGTCTATAGAGCGACAGACTCCTTGTCAAGTCGTTTATAGACCGACAGACTCCTTGACAAGTCGTCTATAGACCGACAGACTCCTTGTCAAGTCGTCTATAGACCGACAGACTCCTTGTCAAGTCGTCTATAGACCGACAGACTCCTTGTCAAGTCGTCTATAGACCGACAGACTCCTTGTCAAGTCGTCTATAGACCGAAATACTCCTTGTCAAGTCGCCTATAGATCTCTAAATAGAGAGATAGACTGCTTGACTAGTCATTTGTAGACCGACAGACACCTTTGCAGGTTATCAATTGGTTGCTAGACTCTATGCCCAGTGGGCTATATACTGTCAGTTTCAGTGTCAAGTCGTCCATAGACCAACATACTCCTAGTAAAGCCGTCCATAAGAATTTTTCCATTTTTACAAATGCTCTACAGATCGACAAACTAATTCGCAAGTCGTCTAGAGACCGACATAAAAGGGAGAAATAAACTATAATGTCAAGAGAAGAGGGTTTTGAGAATTCGACCATGAAAACATTTTTGTTAAACATGATCTATATCGAAGAAAGAAGGCACAAATGAATCTGTTCCAATCCAAACACAAAGCACATTTGTTACTCCTCAGTTATTCCTCCCCGCCTTGTTAGTGCGATATTTCTAACGGCGTTTTGGGGTCAAATTATTTACTGCTTTTATATGGAGTCTGCTAATGATCAGCCGTGGTCAATAAAAATAAGGTCTTGAGAATAAGTCCGGGCAGCAACCAGTGACAACTCTCTGGTCAGCCACAATCATGTGTCGATTCGTCGATTGGGAATGTTTCAGTTTTTGTTGAGATAATTTCTGTGAAGCATTATCACTTGGTCCGGCTTTCGTCTTCCCACTAGTGGGACGCATACGAGACTTAAGGTTAAAAGGTCCACAGCAATGACGACTTCTTTGCAGGAGCTTACTGTTCCAATTCTCTTCATTGTAACAATCTGCCAGAAGGATATTATTCCATATACCACTGAAGTCGCTGCATAAGCGCTTTGCCTTCCTCCACTTTCCCCATTTACCGCTACCGACACATACGAGAACGATGCTTGAAATGTCCGCAGCCACGACGAATTATTTCCTGCAGTTCCGATTTTCAAGCGAGGTGGAAATTCTGTTGAGTATGAGGAGGCTTTGCTGACCCCAATGTTGGTTAGCGATGTGGACATTGAATCCTATCGCAAATTTCTTTGGAATCATCTAAATTACATTTATAACGTGGATTAACAAAATAGCCAATTCGGTGGGAAAACGAAAATGTTTTCACCCTCCAAGAATATGGAATGCCAAATTACAGCCAATTCGGTGGAAAAATACGACAAACCTCATCTATTGATAACTTACATTTGGATTATTTTAGTTTAATTTAGTTTAATTATTTTCATATATAAGACTTCAATGAGAATTTATAGTTACATTGGCGCCCAACGAGGGGAACTCAAAGTTGAGACTTGTTTTTAAATGCTTCAAAACGTCAGTCATCCAAAAAATCTCTCATAGGATTTCACTTATTTTTAAGTGGAGTCTGAAAAGTTGACTTTTGGCGTCCAAAGTGGGGCTAAAATTATATGGTTTTAGGAAATCAATCGCCTATTAAGGTCCTTTGTCATCAATATCAGCATTATTTTATGTGAATTTGCGGGAAAATGCGACGAACCCCATAAAAGTTAAATGGTTTTCAGAAAGAAGTATTAAATGGGACGTTATGGATAGTTTGGCGCCCAACGTGGACCTCAAATATATAACTAAGTTTTTATGGGCTTCAAAATATCAGTAGGCCAAAACATCTTTTCTTCAACAGATTTAACTTATTTTTAATTGAAAACTGGAAATTTAAATTTTGGAGTCCAAATTAGATGGTTTTAAGAAATCAATTGTCTGTAAAGGTCCTTTGATGTCCAATATCAACATTATTTTTTAACTGAAGGCTGTAAATTTGACTTCGACGTCCAACTTGAGCCTTAAAGATATCAATCGCCTATAAAGGTCAATTGTCAGCATTCTGTTTAAGTTAATTTGTTTGTTATTCATTTAGTTCCATAATTCTATAGTTCAATCGTTCATTGGTACCAGGCAATTCGGTCAAAAGAAACTAGCTGAAAGAGGAACAACTGGATCAATACAAGAGATCTAGATCCTTTGTGGAATAGATCATTTGAACTTGTTCTTTCCGGAACGACCCAACTCTAGAATTTTGGGCAGTGGTTGGAGTCCCGGCTTATTTAGCGTTGTCATTTTCCTATTTGTGTGTTATCCTAATGTGTTGGTGTTGATTTTGAAGTTGGTTATTGGTCTGTTGTAGCCTCTGATAGATGATGAGACTGTCATCTATCATTACAACGTATAAACAAAACTTACGTGTATGTAGTGATGTCATTTTCCTCTAGGTGGTCAGTTTGATGTTATTGTCATGCTGAGTTTATGGATTTTTTTTTTTTTTTTGTAATGTATTGTCGATTAGTCATTACGTTAGTTTCGTTTATCATTTCGGTGGGTTTTTTTCCAACTAAGTAGGCAATTGATCTGCTATAACCACTGCTATGTGATGAGGGTGTCATCTATCGTTACTTATAAACAACGCTTCCTTGTAATTATTGTTGCCATTTTCCTCTAGGTGGCGCTATCTCTTTTCATTCCTAGTTTTTTTATTCTCATTTTTTGATGCTGAGATGGAAATATTTGAAAACCATTTTTTTCCATTGCTGGTATTTGAGCCGGGAAACAATCCTCTGCACTACTATTAAAGGTTATTAAAGAGGTTACAACGTATTCTTAATTTGAGGTCTTGGTAGAATCTTTATGCTCATATTGGCGCCCAACATATTCCTTCTTTCCGTCTTTCTTAATGAGCCTTGATATTCTTATTAAAAAAGACTTAAATGTGTCAGTCGTCTATAAAAATTCGGATTTTCTTATTTTTTTTCTTTCGAAGTGTTATTTTTTGCCGCCTATAAATATAAAATATTTGTCCCTCAAACATGTTCTCAAAAAATAGTTTTCAATGTGTGTGATTTCTTACTTTTTTATCAGTGTAGCAACTTTATGCTAATAGCTTGTTTGCTCCCTCAGTATCATTTGAATATATAGTAATTTTCAATTTGCGTTCTATACATTTCCCCCTATTTGAAAAATGTTGTATTTGGGTATGGGGGATAGCAACTATTATTGTTAACGCTTTTGTATTAACCTGTGCGGTGCTATTATGGCCAAGCAACTTCAGTTATAGTTGAACTGTGTTAAGGAAAACTAAAATGACACCTTTTGTTACAAAAAGGTGGAGTGCAGGAAACCGAACCGAATCGTCATAGATGATGATATGTATGACTAAGCAATAAATGTCAGAGGGCTCTTCAACAGAAGCTCATCCCGTAGAGGAGAATAAGAAAAAAAAAACAACAACACAATTTACAAATATAAAACAATATTTCCACGGAAGTAGAACGAACGACGACGAATGGCAGAGAACAATAAATGGTCACCCAAAGAACATGACGTCTTGGAAGGTGGAGTTGAATTGTAACTACTATGGTTCCTTGCGTTTTTTACTTTAATTTTATTATTTTTTACAGATTTAAGATTAAATACTTCCGCTAGTTTTGTTTCGCAAAATAAAACTACATCATGGACTAACTCTCCCTTTTGTTAACAATTTTTTTGCATTTAATTTTATTTGCTGTTCTCTGTTTCTGTTTTTCTTTACAGGCATCTTCAGCAGCAGCAGCTACTAATTCCGTTGGCGGCACAACCACACCAGCAGCCACTCCCAGTGGTGTTGGCAACACCATCGGTAGCACAACAACTAACAGCAATGATGATTTATGGCAAAGTTCACCATCAGCAAAACGTCTAAAATTAGATGTGTCAGCAGCTGCCGCAGCAGGGGTCTCCACTTCAGCATTGGATGATGATTCCATAGATGTGGCGGCTTCGGAAACCTCTAGCACATCACAGGTTGCTGGCACAAGCACCAGTGAGACATATGTCCCTGGGGCCACACCAATTTTGGCCAATGACGATTCGGAGAATGAAGCGTTAATTGTCGATTGTGAAAGTCCTCGGGGTGGTGGAGAATCGCCGAGTAAGTACCTAGAAATTTAAGAAATTACTGATAGAAATGTTGGATATTATTAAAAAAATGGGTTATTTAGCCCCTTTTGTTTTTTTCAAGGAATGAATTAAAATTGAGTTTTTAACAACGTTAATCTAAATTTGGCGCCCGACGTTAGGATTTAATTATAAATATATTTTAAGGGCACATGGACGAAAGAAAATATAATAATATCAACATAATTTTCGACTGGTAGCTTTGATAGGACAACAAAAGTAATTTGGCTCCCAACGTGTTGTTCACTTATACAAGTTAGAACTAAAGTGAAAGTTTCGGTAAGGGCACTCCGTCCAAAGTATGCCACGTTTAAATTCGGGTTGTCAATAAGACCGAAGGTATTTTCAATTAATATCTTTTATATGACTTTACACTAAATGTGCAGCCAAAACATGGCTCATTTTAATTTGAATCATTATTTATGTATCAGAAATCAAATTTTTATTTGAACGCGGCCTGTAAAGATCTGCATTTATTACGAGGTAATAAGTGTTTTCTACTATCGTTATCTAGAAACAAGGTCGCCTTAAATGTTATGCAGTGGTTAGGGTCCTTGATTATGTAATGTTGCGATTTTCCACTGTGTGGCGCTATTACTAAGGGCATTCGTCCAAAAAGAAGTGTTTTTAATTCCGGGTTTTGGTATCAGATTGGCGGCTATACTGTGCGGAAGTCAGTCCAATTTAAGGACCTGTTTAAAATATCAACAAATGTATGTTCAGATTTTCGCGTATTTCACACCATCCCGATTACATGGACAAGACAATTGCCATTCTCCACTAGGTGGCGATAGGGCATTTGTCTATAAAGACCTGTTTTAATACCATGTTTTAGTATAGGTCCCCATATAGTTACGATTTCATTTCCTACGTTTTTAAGATTTTAAAGGCACTTTCCCACAGACGTGGCTGTACTACATTTTTATTTTTTTGAAGGTAAGGAAAATGTTTCCCATATTATTCCTCTTCAGAGGATAGGGCTACTACAATTGAAATCTTACTAGATTGGTCCTTGGGTTAGTTTCGTTAAAAACCAATGAAATAATGGTTTTATATTCAAGCTAAGTTGATGATTGGCCTGCTGCAACCCTACTAGGTGATGGAGCTGCCATCTATCGTTAAATTTTGTGTTTGGGATCCTTACTTTTTTAATGCTGTCATTTTCCTCTGGCTGGTGGTATCTCCTTCCATTCTTATTTAGTGCTATCCTCATATGGAGACGGAAATGCTGAGTTTTGTTATTAGATTGCTAGGGAGCTTCGAATATTCGCAAAACCACTTTTGAACGAATTTTCAGCCCATGGGTCGGACGAAATAAATAAATAAATAAAGAGCATTTATCTATATCAAGCTTATCTTCAACTGGTATCTTACGGCTTTAAAATATATTTGGGGTATAACGATTGGCTCAAATTATATATATATATATATATATATATATCACTATCACCTTAGCAACATAGCTTGTAAGAACCTCTTTTGAACATCAACTAGTGCATGTTCAAATTGCTCGCATACTCCAGCTAAGTAGATCTGTTGTAGCCAATCCTACGTAATGGGGAACCCATCGTTCATTGGCCAAAAGCAACGCCTTCGTGGATTTTGTGCAATGGTTGAGGTCCTTGCTTATATAATGTGGACACTTTCCAGTGGGTGCCGCTAACTGATATTTTGAGTTAACGTCATGTGTTTATGCAGAGGTTGGTTATTGGAATGTCAGGGGCTTCAGATACATTTCATTTTGAAAACCTAATTTTTTTTCTCACCGTGTCGCCATCTATCGTTGTCTAGAAATAAACTTGATGTCGAAGCCGAGATTATTTATTAGAATGTCAGAGGAGTTTCATAATTGCTTATTGATTGTTGCCATTTCCACAGGATGGAGCTATCTCCTTTCTTTCGTATTTTGTGGTGCGTGAGAATGTCAGGGGCTTCGGATGAATTTAATCTTTTTTGCAAATTTTCGAAAACCACTTTGAAATATTTGCTTCCTCCCCCGACGGCATTTGAAAACGGTACTGATCGGTGTGTAGTCCAGCCCTCTATCGTTGACTAGAAAAAAACATGGAACAACCTATTCTTGCATTTTGTGCAGTAGTTGTGGTGATTTTTTCGTTATAGTTGCAGTGATTTTTTCGTTATAGGTCCATGTTTTATATAACCTCCATAGAATGACGTGCTTCATTATAGGTATTTTGATGGCGTTAGGCGGACTTTATGGCATTTAGTTTGGTTAGTAATATAGTTTTGTAAAACTTCCAATATACATTTTTGTAACAGATAGATATTTCGAATTCCCGCGTCATGGCTAATTGTATATAAAATTCGAACATTATGCGTTATCCTGACTCCTATACTCTTAATTCTAATAAATATTTATACTCCAAAGGCCGTACTGCAACACGGCCAATCACCTTTCATTATTACTTCCATATGAGTCAATTTGGCTCTATTAAAAACTTCCTATTGTTTTTTCTTTTTCTAAATCTCTGTTTAATCACTTTTTGTTACACACAAAAAAGTAAGTTTGACAATTAACATAGTTAAGCAAACAGGTAGTCGTAGGTAGTCAACAAACATTGAATTTTGCCAATCAGCAAATAAAAGTAGGTGGCCGACCATATGCTGTGCAGATGATGTATCATATCGAACATTAACAGAGAGCGAAAAAAATAATGAAAATTGAACTGACTTAAGGAGGAGAATCTGGAAATTAGTGGAAAAGATTTGAAAAACGTATTTTCATCATAGAGACTTGTTTTCAGGCGGCAAAGTGATTTTCGAATATTTGGAAAAAGAGGATTGACTTCCCTGTATATAACAAACATCCGAAGTCCCTGACATTCAAATTACCAACATCGTAATCTACATCAAAACATGAGGATAACAGAAAAAAGAAACGACAGAAGATAGTGCCATCCAGAGTTAAGTGGGAACACTAAACAAGCAAAGACCCCAACCAAATGGAACAATGCGTCCTGGGTTTAAAATTCGTTCAAAGTGGGTTTCGAATATTAGTTAAAAAGGCGATTGAATTTCCCCCTTTTGAAATGTAACCGAAGACCCTGACATACTAATAATCAATATCGTCATCAACATCAAAACATGAGGATAACACAAAATAGGAACGATAGCAGATAGCGTCAGCCAGTGGTAAATGGCAAACCTAAACCAGCAAGAACCTCAACCATTGCAACACAATTTCAAAGACGCGCTGTTTCTAGGCAATGTTAGATGGCAGCCCTTCTTTGGATGGTCTATAAAGACTTTCTATAGCTTGTCTACAAAGACTATTCTAGTCCCCTGAAATTCCCACTTTTTCTCCCCATCCTCCAAATAATTTCTTTGTCTTTTTTGTCAAAACACATCCCACAACCTGCAGCAAGTCAACATCAAACATAATTGGAAAGTTTCATCGCTTGTTTTTCTTTTTTCGGTTTGGTTTGTTTAAATTCCGATTTGTATTAGCCTCTGTAAACCATTCGGGAGTTTTGACATTTGTCGCATACATTCGCTTGTTCGATTGTTTGCTGATGTTCGGTTTTTTGTTTTTGGTGGCCTGAATACGTTTTTTTATTACAATTTCTCAATAATGTTGACAATTTGTTGATGTCTGTTTGATCGGAATCATCTGAAAATACAATCAGTAATTCGAAAAAGTATAAAAACAAACAGCGAACATTTGACAGGAGCAACGAACGAACCGAACACACAATCGCCAGTAGTAAAAATTTTAGCAGTTTTTTTTTAGAATAGGATTTGTCGCCGACCGATCGATTGCAACCGCCGCCAACTTCAACCAACAATAGAGCAATAACAATTCCTAATGACAACAATTACAAACCACGACAACTACATCGATGACGACGTCGATCCGAACAAACAATACAAGGCACCGGACAACGGTTAAACTAATCATGTTGGATGAATTCAAAACAACCAACGACCGCACCGATTTGAAACGAAGAATAAAAACAAAACATCAGAGAAAGATATCCCACAAGTGGTATACTTTTTATCCTCCTCTCCTCCGGACACATACATAGATACAGATATGCACACATATATGTTGACCAGGATTGTTGTTTCTGTTATTGGACTTTCTAGCCAATTGTATGCGTTTCTTTGCTGCTATTCCCCCAGAAGCAATGTTTCTTCCATATGGGAGTTGATATATGTTTTGGTTTGTCCATTCGGCTATCTTCGATAATGTTTTAACAGTGATTGCTGTTGTGTATGCAAATTCAATTGAGTTGACAATTTTCACACAAATTTGTTTTGTTGCAGCAGCATCAGCAACAACAAATTTTGTTTGTGTTGACCGATATATTTATTTTTAACTCCACAGAGACTAATTGTTGGGTGAAAATTTTTCCTCAGTAACTGAGGACTTTTTATTTTCGTCTATAGACGAGGCGATGGAGTTTTTACAGACGATCTGAAGGGAATCTTTACAGAGAGCTAAAATGAGCTGAAGGTGGTCCTTATAGATGAGCTGAAGGGAGTCTCTATAAATGGGCTGAAGAGGGTCTGTAGACGAGTTGAAGCAGGGAGTCTCTATAGACGAGCTGAAGCAGGGAGTCTCTATAGACGAGCTGAAGCAGGGATTCTCTATAGACGAGCTGAAGCAGAGAGTCTCTATAGACGAGCTGAAGCAGAGAGTCTCTATAGACGAGCTGAAGCAGTGAGTCCCTATAGACGAGCTGAAGCAGTGAATCTCTATAGACGAGCTGAAGCAGTGAGTCTCTATAGACGAGCTGAAGCAGTGAGTCTCTATAGACGAGCTGAAGCAGTGAGTCTCTATAGACGAGCTGAAGCAGTGAGTCTCTATAGACGAGCTGAAGCAGGGAGTCTCTATAGACGAGCTGAAGCAGGGAGTCTCTATAGACGAGCTGAAGCAGGTAGTCTCTATAGACGAGCTGAAGCAGGGAGTCTCTATAGACGAGCTGAAGCATGGAGTCTCTATAGACGAGCTGAAGCATGGAGTCTCTATA